CATCTTCAAAGGTCAAGTTCCTGGGCGTTGAGACAGTCCCTGAAACTTATGAAAACAAAGCGGATTCCCGGGATCGCCCAGAGGTTATCTTGAGAGTCAAGCTTCTGAGCTTGCAGGCGCAGATCCTTCAAGTGGATGTAGCCAGTGATGTGCATGTCACCCTCGGTCTCCAGCGTCAGCAGGCCGCCGCCGCTGACGAGGAGCGCAGGCAGTCCGTCCCGACTGGGACCAACCAAGCGGCAGCTGGAAACAGTTTGTGACCTCAGCTCCACAAGGAAAATCGCGACCTGTGCGCCTGAACGTCTTGGAGTGCACATGGCTAAACCCAGAAGCCGAGGGACGCCGCGTGGACACGCAGACATCCGACTGGCACCTCGAGGCCTCTGCAAAGCACATCCCAGCTGGTGGCCCCGCAATCCTGGCCAGGGCACCAGTGCATCAACCTCTCTCCCAACTCCCCGCAAGACTGTGGGCCTGCCTGAAGCTGCCGGCCACGTGCTCCGCCCTCCTGGCCTGCATGAAAAGCCAGGAAAAGAACTCCTCAGGAGGGGCCGCCAGACCCTTTGGGTACCAAGCCCAAGCCCAATATTGCCATGTGCCGTGCGACTTGCAAAAAATCTGTGTCACCCCGGATAACTCATCGAGTCTAGTTGCGAGAGCTCTCGACCAGCGCACTAGGATGGGGCGTCCAGCTCGCTGCCTATATAGGGGTTTATAGGGTTATATATAGGGTTTAGGGTTTAGGGGTTATATTGGGATAATGGAAAATAAAATGGAAACTACTATAATGGGTTATATAGGGATTAGTAGGGTTATATTGGGGTTATATTGGCCAATGCCAGGACCCCAGTCAGGACCACAGCCAGGGTTGCAAGAACTCCGAGTTGCAGCTCGTCTGGCAAAGAGTGGCGAACATGGCGATGGAACGCCGGCTGCATGAACAAGTGGAGCCTCTAAATCTTAAACCCTGCGAGGAGTATATAGCTTGGTGCTGGTGAAGCGAATGCAAACGTGAACTCACTTGCCAAATCTCAACCAACCTTGCTGTGGCCATTGTGCCAGTGATGAGCTGTGCTTCCTTCTCCTAGACCTCTACATTAAAGTTCAGCTGCAAGCACGGCAACATGGATGAGCCTGGTCCCAACATAAGTGGTACTTGGAGGGTCGGGGGGACTTGGTAAGCAGGTGAATAATGTGGATAACTGCTACTACACCCCTTAATAGGGATTATAATTGGGATCCTAATATTCAGACCCTAAAAAAGGAGGGGTTTATGAATCACGTCTCTACATTATGCATTCTATGTGGTCCAAACCCCACACCATCAGGCTGTGGCATCAAAGCCTGCTTGCTTTTGTCAAAAAAAGAACAACCGCCAGGGCCAACGGGGGCCTCTAGCCTGATCTGCTGATCTTATCACATGCCACCCGCCACGATCGATTCAAGGCGGCCAATGATGCAGACAAGGATGGCTCAGAGAAGTATGATTCTGCGGCAGGCTTAAGTTGGCCAAGCTGGGTGCTCCACGTTGCAGAGCAGCACGCGCACGAAGCCACGCAGCTGTTGCTAAGATTCCTTCTGAAGTGGTTCACCACACAGGCCCAGAGTTTCAAGAGAACCGAACTCTTGCAGGTTGGAGCATGCGCAAAGTGGTTCAAAAGACTGGGTTGCCGTTAAGGAACTTAGTTTAAGTTACTACATTGGGGGAACCATAGTACTTATTATATATACCCATTATGGCAACTTAATTTAAGTTCCTTAACAGCAACCCAGAAGATGCATGGTCGACAGAGATATTTCTTCAGTGCAACAGTACTTGGCGGGTCAACAGGATTTGGTGGGTATGCTCATATGAGAGGCCATTTGGCAGGCATGTCCACAAACATCTTACATCATCTTACCAAATTCGCTTGACATCTTGCCCAGCCAGAGGCCTCGCGGAAATCACACATGGCTTGTCCGGGTTGCTGTTAAGGAACTTAAATTCAGTTACCATAATGGGTATATATAGTCAATAATAGGGTTTCCCCAATACAGTAACTTAATTTAAGTCCCTTAACAGCAACCCAGTTGTTCGAACATGGGATGAGAACCGACAGCCATTGAGCGCCACACTCTTTTTCAATCAGCATCTGCTGGAGACGTTGTGGCGTCCACCGCGACACACTTCCTCTCCTGCCAAAGGTTTTGGGCACCAGGGTGTCAGAGGTGGCAGGCTTCAGATCATCATGTGCTTTGAGAGCTAAGCTCGCGCGGCGTTTGGTCGGAGCCTTTCTACTCCATTGCACAGCTAGTTTTGCTGGAGCCTAGGTGTGATCAGCAGCTTCGGAACCATATATGTATATCTAGATATCTATATCTATATTGGGCTACAATGGGGTTATATGGGATAATGGAAAATAAAATGGAAACTACTATAATGGGTTATATATGAAGCTTCTGTCATTCAAAGCCTCCTTGGACGAAATCGTCGGCTCACCGCCAAACAGCTGGAGTGGTATTAGGGTTTAGGGTTTAGGGTTTAGGGTTGCGACTCTAAAGCTGGATGACAGAAGCTTTATATATAACCCATTATCCAGGACCTTCCTTGTACCCTTAATTGGGGATAGATGGTCCCTAATAGTGGTACTTAGGTCCTAATAGAGGGTAGAAGGAGGGTCTAGGATAGTAGTTTCCATTTTATTTTCCATTATCCCATATAACCCTATTGTAACCCAATATAGATATAGATATATAGATATACATATATGGCTGAAGCTTCAGTTCGAAGCAGGTGCTCTGGCAGCCTGGTAGGCTTTCGGCTTTCGGGGTCATTATATGGATAATGGGCAACACAATGGAAACTACTACTTTGGGTTTAGGGTTTTAGGGTTCATATTGGGTTTCTATAGGGACTGGAAACTACAGGGATTATAGGGCCACATAGGGGTTATATAGGGGGTATATTGGGACCCTAAACCCTAAACCCTAAACCCTCAATTATCCAAAATCAAGGTGTCCCTATAGTGGCGAAACGCCTCAACGTCTACGACAAGATTTTTTGGGCCTGCAACTGCCACCCAGGTATGGCTTAGGAGGACCCCCCCCACCTTGTAATAGTGGTATAATAAGAATATAAGAGGACCCTAATATCATCCCTATTATCCCTTATAGTCACTCTTACAGGGTGGGGGGTCCACCTAAAAGTATGGCAAATGGGTTATATATATCTATATGTATATTGGGCTACATTGGGGTTATATGGGGATACTGGAGAATAGAATGGAAACTGCAAGTTGCTTAGCAGTCAACTCGAAGCTTGCAAGCTTTTCAGGCCGATATCTCGGGGCAATAACCGCAATAGAGAAGAATAGTAGCAATACTATAGCCTAAAACCTAAACCCTAAACCCTAAACCCTAAAACCTAAACCCTAAACCCTAAACCCTAAACAATGACGACAACAACAAGAGTAATCATACCTGATCAGTCCTGGCCTTGCTCCTGAAAGCATTCAGCATTGCTACTTGAAGGGTCAGGTGGGGCATTAGTAAGTAGATCAATGGGGATCACTGAGGCTATTACATGGTTTAGAGGGATTCGATGCAATTAGTAGGGTTCAGAGTTCAGGGTTTAGGGCTATTGGCTTTTTTCTTACTACGTCCTCGCAGCCTCTAAGTGATGAGTGCTACAGAGCCTTCTGTAACATCCAGCAGGTGCGCCTGCCAGCCTTGTGTCATGGAGGTAGACCTGTGTCGTCTTGATCGTGTCGTGAAACAGGAGCCAGACATGTAGTTCGCAGAGTCCTCTCCACTTCTGAAATTGTGAACCAACATGCCAAGCTGCTACCCACCAGACAGTCCTGCTAGTAGGTAGCTATAGGTAGCTACTAGCTAGTGGCTAGCAAGACATGTCACAGGAATTTAGCAGTGGGCCGCACACAATAGTGTCCTGAGCCTGGAAGTTCAGACTCGACGATTGGGGTGTGCAGCCCTCATGCTGCTGGCTGAGGAATATTTGGTACCTTGTTTGCTTGCTGTGGGCACGACAGGTTATGTGATCGCCCCAGCCATTACTGCCAATTGGCCCGCATGTGCTGCAGCCTCTCTCATGCAAAGCTCAACAAATCTAGCCAAGCAGCGATATTCCCGGCGCATTGCTTTGCTTCCTGAGCAATATATACCCTATTATAATATAGTAGCTTCCATTGTCTTTTCCATTATCCCTAGATAACCCCTATATCATCCCTACATAACCCTATATAATCCCTCAAGGCCAAACCCAAGCTGGAAGGAACCTGGCTCACCCGGCATGCCAGCATCTGTCCAGGCCTCTGTAGTTGTGCGACATTCGGGAACAGGTCCGTGCACTGCACGCAACGCCTCAAGCTGCAGGGCATCACACAGCCATCAGCTTCAGCGCCCTTCGTGAACTGATACTCGTATTACCAGTACTCGTCTATTTGGTATCGGTGTGGTCCTTGTGTCGGGTGCCTCACCAATCGAATAGTGAACTATGGAAAATCACAAGGACATGTGATCGAAACAGTGTTCTCCAAAAAGGGTCAGATAGGGATAGTCGATTTACATTTATACACTAGAATACTACCCAACATGTTAATAATACCAATAAGATGCATAATCGGAATAAAATGATAATAGCAAATCCCGTCTCAGTGAGATGCCACAGAAACGGTCTGCCAAAATCCCGGTTCAGAGCTGGCACAGGAAACCGGCTCAGGGCACAAAGGTTCATTATCAGGAGTTACAATACAACCCCCCCAAATGAACCCCCTCCCCCAGGGTAAGGAGCGAACAAGGACTATATGGAGCTTAATAAAGCTTAATAGGGTTCTGATAAGGTTCTAAATTTGGGGGGGGGTACGTGTCTAACTCCTAACATTAGCAGGGTGTGGAAACTTCCTTAGGCAATGCTGCCTTAGCTCATCAAGAAGGCATGATGCACGCTGCCACCTTACAATCCATGAAACAAAGCACCCGTTGCAAACAAGGCGCTGAGATTGTTGTCTTTTGCCGTCTCCATGTCTACGATTTAATAGTTTCCACAAATAAAGGGACAGCAATGTAGACCCCTATACTATTATCCTTATGATGTGGGTCTCCAAAAAGAACCCAAACTTTGGACCCTAATCCTAAACCCAAATTTTGGGAAACCCCACATCCTGGGTACTATCCATATGCGGCTGCACTGAATGACCCCATTGCGGCCTGCGAAGTTTGGCCTGGGCAGCTGAATTGGCTTTGCTCACAGGAACTGGTCCCTTCGAAGGAGCTATATGTAGGCCTCAGGCCCGAGAAAGACCTTCAGTTCGAGGGTTTC